GCCCAGGGCTGCTGGTAGACCTCGGCTCGCCGCTCCTCCTCGGGGTTCCCGATCACGTCCGTTATGATCTGAGCAAAACACGGGGTGGGGGACACACGGGGTGAGCACCAGGGCCAGACCCCGCCCCCCCCCCAGCCCCCCGCCCTGCCTTGCCCCCGGGCTTTACCTTTCCCCCCCCCCCCAGCCCCTCTCCCTCCCTTGCCCCAGGGCTTTACCTTGAGGTCCCTCCTCTGGGATTTGATCCATTCCTGGATGAAATCCTGCGGGTTGTTGCTGAAGCTCAGCATGAAATCGCGTTGCGTCTTCAGCTGGTTGATGGATTCGATGGTCTCGTGAATCTGGGGAGATGACAGGGGGTGAGAGGCAGCTGTGTTCCCCCAGAACAGAACACCGAGCTCCCTGCGGCCACCCCGTCCCCGCACCTTGGCATCCAGGGAGGCGATCTCCTGCTGGTTGGTGGTGGAAGCCAGGAAATTGCTCATCTGAGCTTTCAGGGGATCGTCCACCTCCACGTCGATGTCATAGCAGGCCGTCTTCTTCTGGTCATTGGGGTCCACGCTGGGAGGAAACGGGGTGCAGGGGTGGATCAACTCCCCTGACAGCAACACCCGTACCCCCCCTGACTGCCCCAAAAAGCCCCCACGTTTGTTTGGCTGATTCTTCCCCTCCCAAGTGACTTGTGCTCACTGCCGCTTTGGGCTGGAGACCTCGTAGCCCCCGCAGGTGCTGCCCTCCCCTCCTGCACCCTGGTGGGGAGGCACCCTGCCCCTCCACCCCCCAGAGCCCCTACCTGATGGTGTGGTTGATGATGATGGGATCTGGGTGCTGCAGGAGCCCCGCCAGCTTCATGGGGATCTCCGAGAAGCGCATGCGGATGCAGTTAAAGATCTGGAGGGGCAAAGCAGAGCGTTTGTTGTCCATGGCAGGGGCCCCCCCCCCCCCCCCCGCCACAGAAAGGGCCAGGCAGGAGGAGGGGACTTGCCCAGCCCTGGTTTGTGCATGGCAAGCTGGTGGGTGCAAACCCCTGGGGGAGGGGCATGAACTGAGGCTGGGCAGTCTGGAGCGTCTGTTTTGAGCCAGAAAAGATGCTTTTTGTGGCCTTGCTGGAAGCGGGAAGGGTGCTCTCCTCCCAGCGAAGCGTGCTGGTGCCGCGGGGCGAGGGCTGACCTGGCGGAAGTAGCGGTTGCAGTTGATGTACTCCTTCTCGTGACTGTCCTGCAGCTTGTTGTGCTTGATGTAAAGCCAGAGTGCCTGCATGATGCTGGCGCGGGTCTGGGTGTGCACCCCGAGCAGGCGAGCCAGGCGAGGGTCCAGTTTGTACTGTGGTGGCTGCAGGGACAGGCAGGATGAAGGGGGTCTGGCGCTTGGAGGGGCCCCGCCTGCAGGCATGCTGCCCCACACAGCCCTTGTCACACACGTGTGTCACCGCAGGCTGCAAGGTCTGTGCCTGGGGCTCTCTGTGCTCTTTTCCGTCCCCACAGCCCCCCAACAGCCTCATATTAAGGCTCTGCCCCAGCCCAGGCCCGTTTGCCCCCGCCGGACCTCCCCGCACAGACGAGCCGTGCTGGAGGAAGGGCGGCAGGGCACGGCCAGCACCCGCGAAGCCCTGGGGCCCCTACCTGGTGATCCAGCATGAGCAGCAGAGTGCATTTCACATTGACGTCGCCGGGACGCTTCACTTGGAAGCCATCAGTCTCCTGGGTTGTGGGCAGCCGGTGCCACTATGAGAGACCAAGGGGACATCGGTCAACTCCAGGACCATGACAAGCCACCCGCTAAACAGGCTTTGTGTCTGCAGCCAGGAGCAGAGCGCGCCGGTGCTCAGGCTCTGCGCAGGGGGTCAGCAGAGGCAGACACCCTGGATCCCACCCCTGCCGAATCTGGGAGTCTGACCTCAGCGGGCTTCAGCCAAGAGCCCACCTGGTCCAACAGATACAGCTTGATGTGCTCCAGCCCGGAGGCAGATGGGAGTTTGGATGGGCTGGGGGAGTTACAGCCCTGAGCACCTGATGTCAAGGGCTCAAACAGCTCCTGGAGTCAACGCAGGATCAATCCTGCCTCAGCCAGCGTAGGGGCTGGGCATCAGAGCTACTCTCACAAATCACCCCACGCGCAAAGGGGATTCACCACCACAGAAACAAGCATTTCGCAGGGCAAAAAGTGTGATCTGGGTGCAGGGAAAGCCTGCTCCGCGCAGGAGCACCCCAAAAAAGGTCTGATCTCACTCATAGGCAGGGCTTAATCTCCCCGAGGACCTTCCAGCCAGGCAGGGGGCTGGGAGGCAACGGGGAGGACCCTTCTCCCCACTTGGCACTGGGATGCACAGATGAGCCTTTCTGTGGCATCGCCACCTGTGTTGGGCCTTGTATTTGCAAATCTGTGGGGCCCAGAGCTGCTGAAGCTGCCTCTCAGAGCCATGGCCTCACTGCAGCCCCACACCTCGCGGCTCTAGCTGCATACTTGCAGGCGTGAGGGGGTTAAGAGCCGAGGGGACAGCGGTTGCTGCCAGGAGCTGTCACTGCTGGCCACCAGCCAGCACCAGGGAGGAAAACACAGCTGTAAACTTGAGCCTGGAAAGTTCGGCACTGAGCCCTGGCACCCAAAAGCACCTTGCTCAACCCCCTCTTGCAGTGGGACAGGCGCTGGGCTGGGGAGCCAAGGGCCTGCAGGGTAAGCGGCAGGACCACGTCCCATCGCCCGCTGGGGATCACAGCTCTCCCCACCCTGCCCGGGGTGCGGAGCCAGCCCCGCAGCGCGGCCGGGAGCCTCCCATCTCACCTCCACCAGATGGTTGTCTGGCCCGTACAGCTCTTTGTCCAGCTCAATGACGAGGCTCTTAAAAAAGGAGGAGAACTTCCTCTTCTGCTTGCTCGGCTGCAAAACAGAGTGGGAGAGGCTTGGCCTGACACCACCAGCCACGGAGGGCCCCAGCCCAAACACTGCCTCCAGCACCCAGCGAGCAGAGGGCTGTGTCCACCCCCGCCAAGCTCTCAGAGCACCAGTGCTCCTCCCGCAACCAGTTCATCCCTGCCCGTATCCTTACATCCTCCAGCAGTTTGCCCTCCACGCGTAGCTCCCAGGAAGCCACACGCTCACCACCCTCCCCTTCTTCTTTGGCTGGGGTGAAAGTGTTGGAGATGTAAATCCTCAGCTTCCGCTTTTGCTGTGGAATAGGAAAACAGAGAGGGGGGATGCTTGGAGCGAGAGGGTGGCTGCCAGCAGCCACAGCAGCACCTGCCTCGTACACGCCCACCCCACCCAGCTGCTCGCCCTCCCAGCCAGCCAGGGCTGCCACACACCGTCAGCGGTTTCTTAATGGCCTCCTGAATCTCCATCCTCTTCCGAGCGATGGTTTGGTCCAGCTTGCGCTCAAAGGCGAGGAGGTCCATGTAGGCCTGGGATTCTGGGACCAGTTCCCGGATCTGTCAAACAGAAACAATCAGTCCCTTGCGTGCTGGGATGGGGTTGTGTCCCCGACGCCAGCCCCAGCAATGCTACCGGTGCCGGGCTGACACGCCAAGGAATCACCAAGTGACAGATCCAGCACAACAGCACCAATTCCTCATTTTAAATGAAGACTACAGCCCTGCAACGCGCTCTCCAAATCACTGAGCTGGACTGTGGACCCCAGTTTGGAGCCTGTCAGTGTGTCCAGCAGCCTGCCCGGTGTCACAGGCAGGTAATGGATTGTTAAGAGGGACCCCCAGGAGAGGCTTAGGGTCCTCCTGGGGTCTCCACCCCAAGTCACTGCTGCTCCTTGCTTGCCCAAAGTCCTGCTTGCCCAATTTGGGCACACCCCAAACCTCTCCTGCCGCCCCACAGGAAGAGACAGAAATCCTCCAGGTCGGTTTGGGACCAAGCAGAAATGGCCAGTGGGCAGGGGGCGGCTCAGCAAGATCCTCCTCCTCCTGGGGACCTCATCACCCCGGCTGCCCTGGGAAGGCAGCGCAGATGCACCACCTCCCTCCAGCAGCTCAGCTCCTTCCGCAGGCACCGAGGCAGCACTCACCCTCTGCGGCAGGACCTTGTCAGCCATCTTCCTCCTTTTCACCCTATAAAAAGCATAGACAGGCAAAAAGAAAAATATCACACTGCAAGCTCTTGCAGGACACCTTGTTGCCTGCCTGGTGGGAAGCTGCTGCATGTCCCACGCTCGGGCAGCAGTGGGTCTCAGGGGACAACACCAAGCTCTGCTTGTACGCCAGGAGCCCAGTGGCTCTTTTGGCCCTATCCAGGCCACGACTGGGGCCAGGCTCTGGGGAGGGGAGTCACAGCGGCAGTGCCAGCTGCGTGCCACACGGATGGCTCACTCTGAGCCAGGTGTCAAGGCTCCCACTGCAGTGAAGAGGTCTGGGGGAGCAGGTCCCCTTTCAGGGCTGCTCCATGTGACAGGAACTTTGGACTTGCAGGAGGGGAGCAAAGAAAGGCTGTAAGAGCATCTCGAGCACAAGCCTGTGGATTAGTGCTAGGAAAGCAAATGAGTAAGAAATTACAACCCTGTGGGCAAGCCAAGATGACTCCGGGGGGAAGGTGTTGGACATCTAGAGCCTGTCACCAGGGAAGGAAATCCAGTCCCTGGTTTCAGTTTGCTTTGCTGCTGCTGCCTGCTAAAGGTGCTGCAGGACAGGAGCAAGAAGGTGGTAAAGCTGCAGGCATGCTCCCGTCTGCAGGATGGCATTTCCAAGTTTCCTTTCTGGAAGTGGCAGTCACATTCTCCCAGTGCTACAAACCAAAGCCCTGTTCCAGGAGCTCACTTAAAAACAGCTTAAAACAAATCAACTTTGCCAAGGCAGAGCCAAAATCATTGTGGGTAGAGGACACAGAGTGGCCTCTAGAGCCACAGCAGGGCTGCAGCCTTGCTCAGAGCCATTTTAGCTCTCTCCAAGCTTGTAGTACCCTGTCAGACCACAGGGCCCTGGGCTCTCCTCCCCTCCCACATGCTGCAGGCTCCCGGCCCTGTCAGCCTGAGCCCATCCCGATGCCCCGTTAAATTCACGCTCAATGCCTGGATACTCGGGAAATGCTCTCCTCCCATTCTGCTGCACATGTGGGGAAGAGATGGGGCAGAGTCCAGCAGGCAAAGGGAAGTCCCTTTCCCTTGGCAGCACGTGAAGCAGCAGAGCAGCAAATGTGGGCGCTCGTGCTGCCGTCACGAGGTGTCCAAGGTATGCGGGCTGCCCCATGGCCGCTCGCGCAGGAGGACACGCTGGGAGGGCAGCCCTAGCTAAGAGGGGAGTCAGAGCACTTCTTTGAGCTCTTCTTGCTGCATGCTTCCTGCCCTGCAGGGTTTGGCCACCCTATGAGCAGCTGGCAGGTCCTGATCCCCTGATCCGCAGCCGGCTGGGAGCGAGGATGCTCAACCAGCCGAGCATGGCTGATCCCACGCAGCCAGCCCCCAGGAACGAAGCCGCAGCCTTATCTGGCTGCTGACGTCCTTGCAAGCTGCCCCTTGTCCTTAATCCCCAGCTTGCTCTGCAGCACCAAAGGGATGCGCAGGCGCTCTGCAGAGGCTGCGACTCCCTGCGGAGGGATCACAGAGCCAACCAAGCTGTCGGCCACCAGCCCTGCTGCACAGCCAGGGCAGGGAATGGGACCTGAGTATCCGTTAGGACCAAGGGAACCTGCCCTGAGAAACAGCCTCCAGTAATCAAGAAGCCCTCAAGGAAAACAGAAACAGAGCAAAGGAATTAGCAGCACTGTAAACAAGCGGGGAGCTGCTGGCAGAGCCTTGCCTGCGACTTGCTGAGAGCAGCCCTAATGAACAGTCCTACCAAGACCGCAGCGCCGGGGAGTGTCTCTGCAACCTGCCACCCCCGTCCCCCGTTTCCACCTATGTCTGTGCCTGCCAGAGCCAGCACGAACCCCTGTGAGAAGGGGAAAGACCCCGAGGAACCGGTGCTGGGGCCTCTGGCAAGCAAAAACACGTGCAGTGAGGCTTTTCAGTTACTGGCTCGGAGATCAGAGCACGGGGAAGCTGCAAGCTGAGTGATCTCTGTCCCCATCGCTGCCCCCCCCGTCATCACAAAACATGCCAGCCTCGAGCTCTGGCAGGTTTCCCACTGCCGGCGGTGCCAGCCGGGGGGAGTCTGCAGGCAAGCCGTGCCAGCTCCTGCCCTGCTGTGGGCAGCTTGCCCCTCTGCAGCAGGGTGGGGAGCTGCGGGTTTCTGCAGTGAAGTGCAACTGGGACCCAGCGGGTGAAACCAACCCCCTCCAGCCTGCTGCAGGTGTCTGTCCCGGAGCGGGAGGGTGCCAACCCCTTACCCTCTCCTCTGGGTGGCCAGTGGCGGCTGTGCCTGGGGGGTCAGCAGGCGCTTCCTGAAGGGGTCCATCATCGACTGCGGCAGGCCGGGTCTCATCGGGGAGGCTGCTCCGTAGGGGGGAGCTCCCGGTGGTCCCACCTGCAGCCCTGCCATGGGCATCCGGCTGCCTGGCGGCATCCCGGGGCGCTAGCAGGGAAGAGAAGAGAGGAAGAGTGTGCGTTAAACACTGCCCTGTGAGGGGGCCTGACCTTTGCCGGGGACCAGCGGATGCCGTCTGCCCTCTCACTTCTTCCCTGGGAGAGATGTCTGAGGCCGTTCCCTGCTCCGAGGTACAGGCAAGGGACAGGCCAGGGAGGAGCGAAGGACATCAGGAGCTGCGGAATTCCTTGCAGGAAGAGCGATGGGAAAGCAGAACCGGGAGGAGCAGAAGCCACTGACTGCAGGGGAAGCCTGGCCTGCCAGGCGTCACGGAGCCGAAGCCGTGCATGGCCCCGAGCCACCGCCATACAGCAGGAGACATCAGACCTGGAGCTGTGTGGGACCCCCTCACGAGGGTCATTGTCTGCAAAGCCTTCACCCCGGGAACATCAGGGCCTGTGGCGTGGGTTGTGCCATGGGTTCCTCTCTGGAAAGCGGCACTGCTGGCAGATGGAATGCCCGGGAGGGGAGCGGGGCAATCCCGCTTCCTCACGGCACTGGTCATGAGGCCGGCAGGCAGGAAGGAAGCCAAGCTCCTGGGGATGGAGGCAAGAGCTCACCCCCCGCCAGCACGCCAGCTCCAGCCACCATCCTTCCCCCTCCAGGGACCCAGAAAGGGCATTTATGAGCCACGACATGATACCTAACCATTCCTGCAAGGGATCCTGAGCCAGGGCAGCACTCACAGCCCCTCCCCATCCCCTGGAGCAGAGCAGCTTGGCAAGCCAGCACCTGCACTGCGGCTCGCAGGTGCCACCAGGTCTACACCCCACGCATCCCCCCAGGGCCCTCGACAAACAGTCACAGCACCCCACGACCCACCGGCCGTCCCTACGTGTGCCAGCCTACTTCACCAGCAGTCCAAGCCAACAGCCTCCCAGGATCCTTTGATCCTCAAGCTCTCCCCTGCCAAGATGCAAGGCTGGGAGAGCCACCAAGCCAGCAGAGCAGTATTTCTCTCCTGCCGCAGGCTCCTCAACGTGCCAGGACATCCCTCACAGCTCCCCTCCCACTGCCCGGCCGGGGCACACGGCCATGGTGTGGAAGAGAGCAAACGAAGCCACCTCGCTATCCCAAAGGAGCCCAGCAATGCAACACCACGAGCTGATGAGCTTATCTGCATACAGGCATTAACTTCAGCGCAAACCCCAGGTGCGGGAGGGTTGGGAGCACAAGACCATGGCCGGCAGCCTGCCTGTCCTCCGCAGCTTTTACAGGCAGGCTCAGATCTGCAGTAGGGAGGTTGGTTTGATGGCGGCTGGAGCCAAAACCCACTCACCTCCTCCCCAAAGAGGCGGTAAACACAAAACCAAGAGCTCGAGTTGCCCCTGCTCCGGAGCCCGAGGCAACAGGTGTCTCTGCAAGCAGGAGATCCCGAAAATATACCAACCGCTGCATTGAGAAGCGTATTGCTGCTGGGAAGTCAAGCAGCAGCAGGCCACGGGATTAGTGCTGCACGTGGAAGTTCAAAAACACGCACATGAAGCGCAGGCAGAGCCCGTTACACAACCAAAGGCTGCCTCCACCTTTGCTCAGCCTTCCTTTAAAGCAGGACCTTCAGAGCCTGGGCTTGCTAACCTGCCCCTGCTACAGGGCAGGAGCCTGTTTCTTCCTCCCAACAGCCCCCAGACATTTCTCTCCTTTTGATCGGCCACATTTGCACAACTCCTTGTGACAACTGGGACTGCACCAGCATTGCCAAGAGCCGACTGCAGCCAGCAGCACCTCCTCTTTTGTCAAAAATCACAAGGCAAGAACCCAGTTTCTCCAGGTTTATCAAGAAATCTTCTGTGGCCAGGCTGGGGGGAGAGGCAGCACTGAGATCCACACCCTTTGCAAAATTAAAAAAACACAGGCAGTGGGTAAACACTTTGCCAGTGCAGCGTAGCTACAGGAAGACCGCGCTCCCATAATCATGCTGACTCACCTGTCAGGGCTTCTGGAGAACAGATAAACCACAAGAAGAGGCTGTGAAAATTGTCATCAGAAATCTGGGAGCCCCAAGAAAAGTTGCATAGTGCCAAGGCTGCATGCAGTCACCTGCAGCTCCCTAGAGCCACCAGAAGCATGGAGAAGATGGGACGGTTTTCGAGGAAAACCTTGCCCCTGGGTGTTTCTCAAGCCCACGCAGGACATCGTCATCAGTGCCATGGGGAAACCGGTCTGAGGGCAGGCAGGTTCCCTGTGTGACAACATACAACACCACAACCCCTTCCCAAAGCATGCAGATGGGAGAATGCATCAGCAGCTTGCTTGGACTAAGAGGCAACGTGGCCAGAACGAGCTCCCGTCCTTCGGCCAGCGCAGCTCTCACCACCACCATGGCCCCTCTGCCACTCCATGGGACACATTTCTGATCTATCCCTGAAATGAGAGATTCGGAGGCTGGCTGAGTTGGCTGAGAGGGTCTTTGACAGCTCCACATCTTGTGCAAGGTCTCCTGAGTGTCCATCTACTCTTCAGAGGGCCAGAGACTGCTCAGTTACAAGAGGAGACACCTCTGTCAGCAGAGGGAGATTCAGCGCAAGGATGAAGGGATCTGTCATACTTAAGACTTCAACGTCACCTCCACAAACATCTGAGAACCATCAGCCACAGTTAAGCTGCTGGGGGAGCGAGCTCCAGCCCACCAGGGACCCGCGTTTGATCACTTGGATGAGCAAAAAAGGGAAGGCAGAATCCTCCACACAGATTTTTTTTTTTTCCTCTGTTTACCATCAAGATTTGCAAATTGCTAACGGAGGAGCCTCTTGGCAAAGCAGGGCCAGCCTCTGCCTCGTGTTCAATCAGTGACCACATCCCTGTGCGGGGGAGCCTCAGCTCCCTGAAGCCTGCAGGCTCCTAAGACTCAACTCACGCAAGAACGGCACAGCCTTAAATCTCCAGCTAAGCCACGAAGCAGCGTTACAGCCCCGGCGGGGTGAAGCCAGCCTCCAGCCCCCTTCGGAAACCCTGGAAATTAGCAGGATGCAAAGGGGCTTAGAGTCAGGAAATTTTATTAGACTGGCTCAAACCAAGACCTTCTTTAGCTGCCTCCTGGCTACCAGAACCCCTCGTCCCTCCATCCACCCCTTGTCACCCAGGGCAGTGTTGCTGCCCCATCCCCTCCGGGTACTGCCTCGTCCTCCCCTCCCTGCCCCACCGCCCCTGCCAGTGGGGCGGACAAAGGGCAAACCTCGCAAGCTCAGCTCTGAGGAACGAGCTGGACAGCATCCAGCCTTCCCTGCAGAGAGCGAGCGGAGCCGTTTGGAAACGGGACAAAAAAACAGCTTGTTTCTGTTCCCTGCCAAAGCCGAAGGAACGAATGGGGCTGGCTGCGGTTTAGTGGTTCATCCCAGGTCAATGCACAGGCCGCTTGCGTTTGGGAAGCTCTGTTGAGAGTCAGCCTCAGTTGAATCCAACGGGATGCTGGAAGGCTTCCCAATGGACGTTCATTGGCATGACAGGAGCCTCCCCGCCTGCCAAAGGACCCTTTTTGAGGAAGGGCAGGCCAGAAATTGGAGGCTGGTAGCAGAAAGGAGAAACAAGGGGAGCAATAAATTGCAGGATGGATCTGCAAGAAGCAGCCAGGCTGGAGAGCGAGCTTGAAGAAAAGCAGCATTTCAGAAAACAGCTTGAGAGCCTCTTCATCTTCCTTCCAAGACCGCAGCTCTTTTCCTGCAGCTCCCAACAAGGGGGGAAAGGCTCTTCCCCATGCACGTCCAGTTTTGCTCCATCCAGAAAGGTACGACCCAACTTTGTACACACGAACAGTCAGGGAGCGAGAGCCCACATGCATCCTCACCTGGGGCTTTGGGAGCAGAGCCCTGGACGGACGCCAGGCAACAACAGCTCTTCCTGCAAGTTCCTCCCCGTGAGCCCGGATGGCAGCGCTTCCCATTAGGACAGAAGCAACAGCAAACCCTGCTCAAACAGGATTTGAGCTCCATGCCAGACTGGTCTCAAGGAAAGCTCGGTTGCCACTGCTCAACCTGGGGCTTCGGGTGGATCTGGACCAACCGAGTCACCCCCAGCACACCCCAAAACAGTGTTTTTCCCCTCTTTGTTCCTTCTTATCTGCGAGCAAATCCCTCTTGGGAGGGTGCCAGGAAGAGCCTGGGTTCGTGCTGGCAGAGATCTTCATCCGGGAGGTGGTGTTATCGAGATGCCATTGTATGCTGCAAGCTCTTGAGCAGCACCTTGCTCCCACAAGCCCACAAGCTACCCCAACACAGCTCGTCACGCTTGGAAGAGCTGCCCTGTTTTGATACAGGAGAAGCTCCAAGAGTCAGATCACTTCTCAGCTAAAAACCATAGATGAGGAAGTAGTAAATTAAAGAGAGAAGGGCAAAGCAACAGACAAAGACACCAAGCAGATTCAGGACACGTGCTGGCAACGTTTCAAGCAACAGTGGAGATGTCTGGGTCCAGACAAACCTGCCCATCTGCAGCCTCACATCTGAAGCCGCAGATGTTACAGGTCAGAGAAAGGAAAAGTCACGGGGATCCAAATCATAACACGGGCATTAATGCAAGCAGGAACAAGGAACAAGGGTGTTGGGTTCCTGCTTGAAAGAGAAACTCTGGCAGCCTCTAATGCAGCATGGAGGCACGCACAGAAAGAACAGAGAGAGGTGCCAGGTATAAAACACTGCCTTTGGTGGTGCTGCAGTGCTAAACTGCCCAGAGAATGGCTTTGAGAGCTCCTGAGAAGGCCCTGTGGAGGAAGATGGATTGAGAGCCTTCAACAGCAAGGTCTGGAGATGTTTTCCACCTAAGCAGAACTTCACTGTCATGTTTCCCAAGGAGAAACAAAGGGTGCCGTGGTCTCCGTTGTTGCCTTCCTCCCTCTTGCTCCAAGAGGACAGCGTTCATCTGCTTTGTATCGTCACTTTAACTCGAGGCTCGGTCTATGATGAAACCTGCCTTGGAAACCATCTCCCTTGGGAAGGGTGGGGTCACCCAGCCCGAGCAGCATCACAGCTTTCTGGTGCAGCTCCAGC